GAATAGTCAAAGCGTTATTTAATATGAAAAATTTATTGCAATAGAGGTATGAAATTTATGAGAAATTTACAGTTACACACAAGTAATTTGAACACATTATACAATAACATAAATATTTATTCAAAATTATTATTATTTTTTCCGAATTATTATTTTCATTATATATCGATATATTAATGTACTTTTGTAACGTATAAGCCAATTGTTTAATAATTATATCGTATCCGTAATAGTCATAAAGAAAATCGACAATATTCATAAACACTGCGCGAAAGAATTATTTTGAATAGGAAAAAAACTTTTTTTGTTGATAATCGTATCTAATTAATCATATAGTAATTTACCTTCAAAAATGTTTTCAAAAATCGTCGAAATAATTATAAAGAATTATTTTTTCTGGACATATTTATGCAGGATTATTTTTGCCGATATGTCAATATTATTCTGCCCATCAATCTCCTTTATACTTCCTAAGATAAATGTTTCCCTCACCTCCCCCCCCCCCCCCCACAACCAACTGATATTATTATGATTATATTGCCTTATTATCAGAGTAGTACGAAAAGTCCACAATTATATTTTTTACAAAAGCAAGTGATTATGCATCGAGATCTTCATGTAAGAAGTCTAGGTGAAAGTGGACCACACTTTATAAATGTTTCGTTTTCATCGATATTTGCGCAATAGTTAAATAAGAGACCATCATAATTCTTATGAGTAGAACAAAAATCATGGAAAATAAAATAATACGAAATATTGTAAATATATTTAATAATACATAAAAATTATCTAATACAAAATACGACGTATAATTAAGTTTTAAATTCTTTCCAAGGGTCATAAACAAAATTTTAAGTGAACGTACAGATATAGAGCAATTAAATACGAAATGAATAAATGTAGAATTATATAAACATGGATTAATTATATATTTGGTTTAGTTTATAAATGTTATTTTTATCATTTAATTCGTAAATATTGTAATTAATTAAATGTGATTTGCTTACTACTCATGTAATTAACGTACTTGAGTAATTAATAATACTTGTAAGTATATATATATATATATATATATATATATATGATTGAAAAAAATAGGACAAAATATTTATTTATAAGATTTCTTGAAGTATAATAATATATTAATAACAAATATATTAATAAATATATTTATTTAAGAAAACACTTAAAAGTATTTATTTACATTATGATTTGTTTTATAGTTTTCACTTATTATTATTTTTTTTTATTTTAACTTTAATTTTAATTTTTAAGATATTATATGGAAGATTTAATTTCGGAGTTGTGCACATTTCCAGTTCAGTAAATCATTTGGAAAATTTAGTTAAATGACTCTAAATTCACTAAATTTCAACTAGCTAAGCCTACCTAACCCCTACCCAAATGAAAAATTAAATCAACAAAGAATCATTATAATAGTACCAAAAACATAAAACTTTTAGTAGAGAAATTGTTAAACGAAGTCTATTTTTATAAAAGTACATATAAGATGGTAATTTTAAATGATTGAATAGACGTATTTTAAGATAAATTAAAATAAAATATAAAAAACGATTATTAATTAGTGAAAACGTTCACAATTCTAATATAGTCGCGCACTTTTTTTTTTTTTTTTTTTTTTTTTACCTAAAACCGTATGAGTTAGTTTAAAGGAGTAAAAATTTATTAAAAAATATTTCGCTTTTTGATATTGATTTAGTTTGATGAAGCGAAAGCTTCACTCACCACCAATCGCAATTGTATAAGACATAAATAAAAATTTGTAGAAAAGTATAAAGTAATTAGAAGTATTACTAATGTTCTAATATACAAATGACATTATAGAAGAATAAATTGCAGTAGAACTACTTTTTGAAATAAGAATTGTAACGAAAAAAAGTTACATAAAGCGTCTCCGTCTCAATTAATCTCAGCTGCACTGTTTTTTTTTTTTTTTTTTTTTTTTTTTTTTTTTTTTCATTATAATTCCTATAAACGATCCCAAAAAAGATCTCAAGCCGTTCTTTAAACGTTGGCCAACGTATTTTAAAAAGTTTGAAGCTGCAACAGGATCTCGCTTCTCCCTATCCATCCTTTGCAGAAATACGTTACGCAGGCGGAATCCTTTTACCGAGTGTACACAACGCAGTTACAAATCGTCGAGCGCCTTCTCCCTCATCCGTATAAAGTCAGATATAAAAAAATGAAGGCGTAACGCGAAGTATCAATCCAATCGCGCGCATCTCATCGACTGCGCGAAACACAATGGCGCATTATAATAATAGAGTAAGAACTTGGAACGGAAGTTCTGTTTTCAGAATGAGGAGAGTATTGGCGCTGGTCCCTCTCGTTCCTCCACTCATGAGCTTCGCGCGACGTAACTTTCTAATTAGACTCGATTAGACAACGAAATTGGCTACGACGGCTAATGGTTGATATGTGTAGCCGCTCATTGCGGATATACATTCGTTTCACCGGGCGAATGGAGAGAAACGTACGCTGTGAGAAATATCGGCTGCATAGCAAAGCCGTTGTGTACGCTGTCGCAATGTTACGGCCGTTACGTTATAACTTTAAGGTATACGATGCGGTTGAAATAAAAAACGCGAGATCTTTTAATTGCATGGAGAATCTTGAATCTTTCGACCTTATGCGGTTATTGTGAACAGCTCCGTCAATTGCTTAACTCCGCAGCATCCACTCAACCTTCATCGCTTGTTAATTGGGAATAAGTTTATTTTTGTGGAAAGATTTGCTTAATTTGCATATGAAACGTGAAATATTTCTTGGGTGCAGAAAATTGGTGATATTTTTGAGATGAAGGAAATCCAGAAAATAATTAAATACGAATTTAAATACGAAAGTTTCGAATTTAAAATAGAAATTTTCTCTTCATTAATTCCAATGGGTATAAATATATAATTTTTTTTTTTTTTTTTTTTTTTTTTTTTTTATGAAACTAGAGATAATATATTAAGTTCACGATTATCACATAAATCAAGGCCTTGATAAAATACTGAATTTGAGAAAAGAACTTTTTCAAGACGGATATTTGGTTTGTTTTTCGAAAGTTCGCACTTAATTAGAATATATTATTTTCCTTAGCTTAAAGTTAATCATTTTAATACACGCCAATATATATTAAAAAACTTTTGAATAATTCTTACATTTTAATCTTTTGATACATTAAATCATATTATATTAGTATCATGAACTAGCACCTGTAGGTAGAATTTTATTAAATTAATGATATAATGGTACATCGTATATTATGATTTTATGATAAATCGACATGCGGCGAGGACTATATCACCGATCATTCAAGCCTACCGTAATGAAAATATCAATAGTTTTTTAGCACATTATTATTATTAAATTTGCTACGAATATCTTTTTAAAGTAAAATAATGATGTAAGATTTCATGTGACTTTTAAACATATGAATTATTATTATATGGAAATTATTTCAAAATAGATAATGTTTAGAAATAAATAATAAACTGTAAAGAAATAATAAGAATATTGTATTTCATGATTTATACAATATTTTTATATTAAAGATTAAGTAAGTTTAGATAGATGCTATCCTTATAATTTGAATATATCAAGTTATATTTGATTGATTATTATCAATATTATGAGCTTTTTATATCTAATTATTATGTTGTTCATACATTTTTATGCGTAAAATAAATGACAGGTTAAGTGTTCACTTATTTAAATACCATTATTTAGATAAAATGTGTAATGCTTATACGTGCAATTACATAAATAAAAAATATGAAATATATTTTCATTCGATAAAAGAAGAATTCGGTAAGAAAAGCATTATGAAGTTAACTTTTCATATACTAAACAAAGGTTATTTTACTATTGTTAAATTATTCCTTAAAATAAGTAATCGTTATCACTTATTTTATATAGCGTACATATTATAATTGTAATAATTAACGCCTTTTGTTATTAGCTAATCAGTTAGGTAAATTCGTTCATTCAACGCTTCATTACGAAAAAATAATTGAAAACTTATTTAATAATTAATAATTTGATACTTCGCATAAGTTTTACAAGCTTCATCTGAATAAATAATTAAAGATGATTTTAATAACAATAGATAATAAAATAATGTAATATAGTCATTTGATATTAGGAATATTAGCGTTTGTTGATTAATTTAAAAAAAAAAAAGAAATTTTTTATCATTTAAAATACATAATTTGTCTCAAGAAGATTTAATTGGCGACAAAGTTACAAAAAAATATATATATATTGTTCAACGTGATATATGTAAGTGAAAGTCTTTTATTACATATTTCCTTGAAAGGCCAAATCAAGTTTAATACTAAGATTAAAAAATAATACAAGTACTAATTTATAATTTATACTTGATTTCTAGTGTAATTTCGATTAAAAGCAAATTTTTTAAATAAGTACCATTAATTCGTGCACAAAATTCGAAAAAATCAGTCTTCAATCGGTATAGATATTATTGCATCGATATTAAATGTTATTTAAATATAAAAGCGACATCCTTTCAGTATGGATAATGAAACAACATATTATATAATAATGCAAAAAATTTGCAATATCTGTACGTAAAATATGAAAATTGAGTAATTTATTATAATTTATGTTACATCGTATATTGATTCATATTGTTATTTAATCAAGAAAAATATGACAAATTTCTAATATTGTATAGGAGGCTTTTATTATTTGTAACTTTTACAATCAAAGTAATTTATAGCCATATTAGGTCAGAAGACCCTAATATTCCAAATGAATACTGGAAAGAGATAAAGAATTCGGTTATATTCAGGCATTTTTAGCGATAAAATTTCAAATATTTAGTATTATTGGTTTTTTTTTTTTTTTGTTGACTTCTTTGTTTTGTAATAAATCAATTTTTCAATTTACAGCATTGAATCGCTCTATTATGCTAAATGGATAAGGATGATTTAAGCGTCTACCACCGAATAAGAGCAGAGAAACGAACTTACATGTCAGCTCGTTTTCAATGTTTTGCAGCTTAACATTTTCAGCAAAGGAAAATCTGAGGGGGCTCGAATGTTCGCGCTGTCGCTGATTGAGATCGAGCTGGCGTTTCTTCGCGTTTCTCCCCTGATAGTGCAGGTGGCTTGTAGCTGTGTGCACGTGTATTGTTGTTTTTCATTGAGAGTGAAAAAAAGTAAAAACAAAGAGGACGGATAATAGAGGAAGGATGACAAACAAGAATGAGATAGATTAAACAATGTATGCTACGCATTATGAGCTTATATATTAGTATGCACTGACAAAAGTATTTTTGACATTGACGAGATGATAGATTGTTGATCACGATTACAATTGTGCGATCAGGAGCTTGGGAGTATAAAATCGAGCTATGCTATATAATTACGAAGAACGTTTGCATGAAGCATTTTACTCTTTTCGTTTATAAGACTTATAAGAATTATTATTTCCAAACATAATTAAAAGTTCCTCTTACGAATCACGTTAACAAAATATTCAAAATAATTTACATACCATTGGATTCAGTGCAACGAAATTAAACATAAACTTATAAAATACATTAATAAAAAAAAGAAAAAAAAAGAGAAAAAAAGAAAAGAAAAAAGAAGAATAAAATTTAAATCGACGTGTTAAAAATATCATTTTTAAATAATTAATTTTATTTATTAAGATTTTTTTAACCATGTTTAATTAACTTCCTACATTATTTTCATACATTATACGTACACAGTTTTTGATTTTGATAAAATATTGTAATAATATTTTATTATAAGACTTATATTTTGTTAGTGCATAATAATAATTTATACTTTCCAAAAATCACAATCAATAAATGCTTTTATAGTATCTTGATAATAATAAATTTTACATAATTTTTTAATTAATTATTAATTCTATTGATTATAATTACAATTTTATCAAAATAATAATTGAAAATATTATTTTTAAATTATATTTTCGGAGAAACATTTATTCGATAGACAAAAATGTGCTCATAAATTTGTATTATAATTGTCTTAAAATATAGAATGATACAAAATTATAACTTATAATCTATGAAAAACTTTATTATACAACTAAAAGTTTCAACTTTTGACATTTTTATATTATGTCATACCACAAGTCATACATGTATTTTATAAAATTATTTGTAAGAAATGAAGGGATTAATTTGTAAAATAAAATCTCTTATTAAATTAAAAATTACTTTATATATGAAAAATGGGAAAACAATGATTATGTATTTCTTAATTTTTCGCGTTGGCTCTTTAATTACATTAATAAGTAAATTATACAGAGTCAATTGACTTATTATCTAAATAATAATTCAATCTAATTTTATATATTTATAGTAAAAAATATATTTATCTTACATTACTATACATAAATACAAATTTTTTAATTACATTATAATTTATTTCCATCGATTTAGATCACTTTACATATATTATACATTATAAATGTAAAAAAGTTGTTCGATTTTATACTATTTATTATACATTCGAATGTAAATGTAATTTAATATTCATCTTAAATTTATATGGGTTTATAATGCAATAATATTGCAATTAATATAATAAAAATATTATCAACGCTATTAGCTTTATTATTTGTTTTTGTTTTGTTTTGTTTTTATTAAATTAAAATTTAAACCATTAAATTAATTTTAAAATCCTTGAAATATATTTATATTTAAATTGGAAAGTTTGAGTTTTTTTACTGACTAATTAATTAATTCTAATTTTAACTGCCTTTTTGAGTTAATGATAAAATCATCATATATTTGTTATAATTTTTTATATAAATCATATTACGTTACTTACGTACTGCAAATATTACCTCACAACTGCAGATTATGCTTTAATTGTGATATATGATATTTTTAAAAATTTATTAAATTTAATTAAAAATTAAAAATTAAAAATTAAAAATTAAAAATTAAAAATTAAAAATTAAAATTTTTAATTTATATTAAAAAATCGCATGTAATTTAAGACTGTCGTTAAATTATTTTAATTTAATTTTTAAATAAACAAATACATTTTATTATAAATAATATATATTTTATATTTGATGATAAAGCATTGTTAGAGGATAATACATAATTATATCAAGGAACTGAAATTGCTTTTACCAACAAAATTATTGCTATCTAGGCCATTCTGAATATATAGTGTATTGTTTTAAAGTGGAAAGAATAGTATTTAATTCGAGAATCGTGAATATTATTGAAAATTCTAATCAATTCTTATATTGAAAGTCAATCTCTATAAAATAAATGTTTAAAATTTTCTTGAATATGAAATATACACACTGATAAATGTTCTTTAATACGTTAAGAACAGCATTATGAAATTACATCGCTAAAAATATTTTATATAATTATTTATTATTGAATTATTGAATAAAGCCATTCAATGCTATTTTAATCTGCATATTTTAACATTATATATATATATATATATATATATATATATATATATATATATATATATATGTATGTGTGCGCCTGTTTCTTTGTGTCCATGTGTGTTAATACTAGGTTATACAGGATTCCATATGTGTGTTCAATAATTTATGTTGAAGTATTTCATATTATTATATGCAAATTAAATCTATTATTTATAATACAACTTTTTTATATATATATATATATTTTTTATATAATTCATGCTCAATGATGGTATATCATAAATTTTAGAAAACGTTTACAAATTTATATGTTTTTTATTTTAATCGAATTATCTTTGGCTGAATATCGTCGAATAAAATATTTAAAAATTAAATATTTATTTATTGAATATTAACAAAGTGAAATAAGTGCGTCGAGAATCTTTAGCATTTTTTAATCGAAATGCTTTATATTTTCTGGGTGTAATTATATTATTCTGAATTAAAACTTGTCATCACTATAAATCTGATATTGTATCGTATATTAAAAGTAATTAATATTTAAATTGTATGTTACAAAGGGGTGTTGCAATATGCTGTGCTAATGCAAAATATACAAATATCATAGGTACGTATGCACATGTATGTAATACATTCATATTTGAATATGTAATAGATGTAACGTAAAGCTAAGTTTCGCGAAAAGTTAAGAAACCCGTGTCATGAATTTAAAAAAATCTCTTATCGCCTTTATTTTTTGAAAGGATTACCTTGTTAGTCGGTCAAATCTTCTTGTAAGTATCTTATAACGTCTGTTCAGTGATCGATGAATCGTAAGTAACAATGATGTTGGGATGTAAAAAAAAAGAAAAAAGAAACTTATATCGAGCATGATGTTATTACGCGTGTTATACCTACCGTTCAGCCTACCGGGTACGGCATTCATCCCGGCGATACTCGTCGCCACGACCAGCCCCAAAATAATCGTCACTAACATCCTCTCGTATTTCGTTCGGTTTGATATTCGGTCAAAGAAAGTTACTCTTCCACAATCGGCGCACAACCTTGGGAAAGGACTTTCACAGGTACACTCCTATAGCAGCCTTAGCACTACAGATTTCTTACAATCTGAAGCTGAATGTTATATCGAAAGCTGAGACGAATTATCTGGCGAGAGGATCGTTTGGATTGCTAGCAAGGATGCCGGGAAAAGCTCGACGAAACCTCAAACGAAAGGTTCGCGATGATGCTCCGTCAACTCCGGAACATCGAAATGCCGTCGCGAACGCAAAAACTTTCTCGAAGGCGCGAGTGCTTTTCCCGGGGCCTGCGCCTCTATGCGCACGGACAAAAATGTGCGGGAAGGAGGTTCGGAGACCGTGACGGCCGGCGAGAGAATGTCCCTTCAGATTTGGTGCGGGACGGCCGTCGTAGCCGCCGTCGCCGTAGACGCCGATTCGCGCGTTGTAAAATGAACAGGGAAAAGGAGCGCCTCCAGAGGTATAGCGTTTCTCTTTTGCCGTGCGCAAGGAGGGAATCTCTCCTTGAAGCTATGGGCCAAGACGAGCGAGGCCTCGTTATCGGGGGAGGAGGAGTAAAGGGAAGCTGCCAAGGAAAACGTGATCCTCGTCATTGGAAGCACGAGGGTGGCGAGTCTTGGCTAGACTGCCCGAATACCTCGACATCTCGTTGGAATTTAGTAATAATAATTGCCTTCATTGGTAAGAGGACGTGAAATGATTACGACAAGACTCATTGAATAAACGATTTGGGACTTTGAGAAAGATGTATTATTCATATTGAATAATTATTGTTCCGAAGAGGTCAACTTTACGATACTTCAGGAGCTTTAACAAAAATTTTACAAAGCTTTGATAATGAAAGTACTCGTCGTATAGATTTTGTACAAACTCATTATCTATATGACAAATGTAGCAAAATTTCTTTCTAATAGTAAATCAAACACCTCACTCGGTAATCTCGAGAAAATAGAAGCAATATTTGAAAAATAAAAAAAAAGAAGAAGAATTTAATTGGTTTGGCATCTATATGCATTGATTATTATTCATCATTCAGAAGATTAATGATCTGTTTTTTAATAGGAAGAAATATAAATTTATAAATATAATAAAAATGTTATTTGAAAGTATTATAACAATATTTATATTTACATTATACATTGTATTATGACTTATCCAGTAACAAAAATCTGTTTACTATGCGAAGGTTTTTTTTTTTTTTTTTTTTTTTTTCCACGGTAGTAAATAACATAACGATATTTATTCCTTTATATTAAAGCTATGAAAAAGAATTATTTCATCAGTTTTCGGAAATTACAATGATAAAGGTACTTAGATATTGCTGTCTTTTCATAATACGTATATATATTTCTTTATTTTTAAAGGTTCTTCTTAAAGGTATTTATTGCCCGTTCAATGTATAACGAATATTTGCTTGATTCTTAACGTCAATTAAGGTTAATTAGCCTTTTATATTAAAACATAAAATAAAAACAAGGCACGACTTTTATTTAAACGTTTACATTGAAAAAACGAAATGTAATAAATAAAAAGATTTATACAGAATCGATGTAATTTAATGAACAGGTGGTGCAAAACATTACAGATCTCATATCGAAGGAATTATAGGCCCGAATGTATAATGAAATATTAAAAAAGTATTTCATGAATTATTGTTACAAGCTTCTATTAAATAATTTATTTAAAATATTTATTACGGAAAATGTAGGCAGTACGTGTATTATATTTGTTAGTAACTCACGATAAATAAGTTTAAACAAATCTTAATTTCTAAGTGTAATGTTGAAATATCGTAATGAAATTTGGAAATTTTTACTACATACTTAAATAGAATTAATATTGTAAGAATTTGAATTAATAAGTACGAATCCGAATTAAAATGCGTATAAAAATAGTAACTTCATTTTAGTAAATATAAATAAAAAGAAAGTAAAAATTACAGTTCATTCGATTAATTATTATGTATAATTTTTTAATCGTTTATGAAAATAATTTCTTGACTAATTATAAGGAAATTTTAACATTTTATAATAATGATAGAATAGACTTTTATATTGTTTGATTATATTTTATTGGCATGCCGTAAGATAATAAAAAAATATAAAAATTAATTTAAGACAAAAATTAATTGTTTTACTAAATTAGGAATTAATTTACATTAATGAGAAATTTTTAGTTTCTTGCAATACAAACTAAGGTCATCATAATCAGTATTTTTCATTAATGCGTATTCTTAATGAACTTTCTTCTAGTTTCAATATAAGTAATAAAATAGAATAAAGATTTCATATAAATAATAAAATAAATATCTATTTTAATTAGATAATTACAAATGTAACAATAAGATAAAAAATATTAAGTTGAATATCTATTGTAAATAATTTAAATATAATGAATTAAACGAATTTTATTCCACTGGTTAAATTATACTTTTTTCCAAGCATGAATCATTATTCAGCATTCATCATTTATTACTTTAAAAAGAATAAATCGTTTTATATGCTTATAAAAAGCTTTTGTGATTATTTTATCTGCAGTGCTATAAAATAAAAATTATAATTATGTGTAAATAATGAACAGCTTAAAGTAATGCATATCGGATATCTGGAGAATACCTTATAAATATTAGCATTGAAAGTATATCTATTTTACCATAACAATGTTGTTTAGAAAGTGGTTTTTTAATAAAATTGAGAATGACTTTGTATAAATGAAGGGGAGACGTAAAAATTGCATAAAAATTAATTTAGCCATAATAGTTTTACAAGTCATTCCTTTGAGAGAAAATCTGGCTTGCAATTGGTAGGTAATAGCTTATTTAAAATTTTGCATTTATATTTTGGTTGGCTTCAGGCTTCCTGTAATTATCAAGACTTTCAATAATTATTTAGAATAAATTCCTATGATTTGTTATGCTTTGTTTACAAAATATAAATACGAATAATATTCAAGCAATATATATATATATATATATATTTTTTTTTTCTTCAAATAAAAATATGACAGTTTGTAAATCTAAACATTAAAATTATAATATATGGCAGATTGGCTTACACGAATGACTATTACTCGTGGAATTTCAAGTTGATACATCCAAGTTTTATCAAAAGCGAAAGTACAAGTAATTGGTTCATACTTTGATTATTAAATGCCATAACAATACAAAGAAATTTACATAGCGTGAATGTATATTTTAAGCATTAAAACTTCATTATTAAGTTTACAATGTTTCAATAAGCACAAGTTTCATAAATAATCGCTCATTTGGTGTATATTTTAGAAGTTAAAAATAGAACAATAAATTGTATGCATGTCAGTTAATACAAAGTATTTTCGGTAATAAAAGTTAAAAGTCATCAGCAGAGCATATATTTTCTTCCTTACGAATTCTTAAGTGGCAAACAAACCGATAAATTTTCTAATATATCCAAGAATGCGATAAGGCAACGCTACTAGTTTGCGTACATCGATTTAAACTTTTTTGCGCGGAAAACGATGACACAATTTTCTTTTTTAATTCCACGACGTCGATTGTATAAAATGATTTTTTGTCCTTATGTTCATTCGATGACGAATGACTAATGGAATTCGACCGGATTTTCTTAATAACTTGCTAAATATAGAGACAAATAAACAAACAAACAAACAAACAAACAAACAAACACACACACGCACGCACGCACGCACGCACGCACGCACGCACATACGCGCGCGTATATATATATAGGAATTATTTCATGAATACAAATACTTTTGCTTGTAACATAATTGCACTTTCTTTTTCATTTAATTCAATTAAATTAGGAAAAAAATTATCTAAACTTTATCATCTAAAATTTTTTTTAGCATTTGTAAGGAATGATCTTACAATCAAAGTGATTGGAAAGTGAAAATAGAAAATTAGATCATAGAAACTGAAATATAGATATTTAATTTTTACTCGATATAGAAATCGATATTTCACTATTAAATTTTTTATTATAATGAGTTAATAAAACACGATTTGTATTTAAATTTCATGTAATGCAAATAAAATCAAATTGTAGCATTTTTAAATATTAACAAATAATACTTTACTTATTGATTTTAAATGAAAAGTTATATTCTTATTAATTCTTATGTATATATTTTGAATGAATATAGATTACAATGTAAGTATTTGCGTATATAATTTCATTCAAATGTTTATTTTCATAATTTCTAAAATCTCTATTTACATTTTGTTACTTTGTGAAAGTAATTATTAATAAAGTATCAAATATAATTTACATTAATAATTAATTATACGTATGTGTATGTAAAGGTAATTTTTTTTTCAACATTTATTCTTTTCGAAAATATTTTATTAGATATCTGTTATTCAGATACGAATCATTTTATTACTCTACAAATTTTAATTAAAAATTTGTCTTAAAGTTCACAACCTCTTGTATGTTACATTAATTTAACGTATTACTAGAGTTGCAAATTTTAAATTGGACCATAAAGTCTCTTTGTGGTTGTATTTTCAAAAGAATATCGTGCGTATAAGCAATAATTAAAATTTAAGTTTCAAGAAAGAATGACGAGTGATAGTATCATCGATCCACTTTCTATTTAAACGAATGAATGGTCATATATAGAAGTAAGGTTTTTCAATACATGAAGGATTATGTAAAAAGAAAAAATACAGATCTTGATAATTATAAGAGATGTGCCATACGATATGAGATATCCCGGATACTAAGTTGATAAATCGACTACACGTGTATTTAACTATTTCAAATTTAAGATAAATAATAAGGTAACGCAACCTACGTATACTAATGTCGTTCATCTTATATTTCTTGTTATGAATGAACATTGCGAGGATTAGAGAAATTAGAGAGTTTTAACGAAACTACCACTCATTTATTACTCAAGTATGTACATTAATATTCTTCATGTATTATATAAATAAACAAGCTCAATGAATAAACGAACCACACGCCGTCAGATGTACAAAGAAATTCTACATACCTCACTAATGTTGGACGACTATTGCAATTTTTATTCCCGCTTAAGAGTTAAATTATAAAACGTTAACTTTAATTGTAAAGTAGATAATATTATTTACGCAATCGCCAAAAAATTTATGAACACATGACTGATATCTTAAGGATTGCAAACAGCACAACTTTTGCATAAAATGCACGTGCTTTCATGCATATTGAGTCTATATGCTTGTTGATACATATATATATATATATATATATATATATATATATATATATATATATATATATATATATATATAACATAAATATATCGAATACTTATGAAAGCTTAAATTTTTAAGAAGAAGAGCACAAAAACCAAGATGAAACCT